TGGACTGATTTTGTTAGGCTTTGGCTAGTTCTGCTGCTGTCATGGAAAAATTTCACTTCTGTACCTGGGGTCTGCTGCAGCAAGCACCATCTGTTTTGCATCTGAGTACGAATAAAACTCCATTGAGTTGTGTCTGAGCTGGTAACCACCAGCACAGGACCTTGGAGACCCACATGCCCTGGTCCCCTGGGCTGCACCCTTGTGTGAGTGTCATTTTTTGCAGATTTGGGCTAGCAATTTTTTGGAAGAAAGGAAGGCCAGTTGTATAAAGGGAACGATTCTTCTTAAAATGCAACATCAGGTGGGAAAAAAATGGTTCAAGACGATATTTTCATACATGGCTAAATGAACACAGGCTGGTTTGGAATCTGTTTTTGGGGTGTAGGAGGCACAAGAGGATGGGGAACATCCTACTTTGGCTGGGAGGAGCCCCAGACTGGAAACTGGGCACTGTGTGACATGGCTGAAACACACTTTTGTACGATCAGAGAGAGATCACCTCTGTGTTTGGGTCCTGGCTGCCTCTGCTCAGGTTTTCAGGCAGTGCTGAATGAGCTGGTGCTGAAATAGGTGTGGGTGCAGCTCTCGGTCAGGTTTCAGCAGAGATGTCTTTATCTTTGAAGCAGGTGATGGACCACAAACCACACTGGTGACAATTCAAACCCCAGTTTTCATCTCTCCCACAAGGAACACTGGGTGAATTGTGGTGAAAGGAGGGGTGTGCTGAAAGTTTGCTTTCTCTCAAAACACACCTGATGGTTTCAGTGTGGCTGAGAGGCTTTTTTGCTGCAGATGTCTCTGATGGAACTTCTTACAAATGCCTACACACTTGTGGAGCACAGGGGTCCTCACTGAAGGGTGGAAGAGGAATATCTCCACTCCAGCATTTATGTCACGGTTGGTTTCCTGCCCATCCTAGTCAAACGTGGAAAAGATTTTTTTTTTTTTTCCTCTCTCTTTCCCCCCTCCTGCTTCAGGTAGGTAATTTTCTGCATCTTTGAAGCTGCCTTGTTGTTACAGATCACGTTCTTGCTCCATTCCTGGCTCATGTGTTTGAAGACTCTGTGATAGGTTTTCCATCATCACCTTTCAGAGGGGGCTTGGGCATGTAAAAACTTCAGTTTCCCTCTGCGAAAAATTGTGAGCTCTCTTTCCACACATGGCTGGCCTACCTCCACTCTCCTTTCTCATCACCTATTTTTCATTGTTTTCAAGGAAATCTTTGCCCTCACTGAACTTCCCTGAGGCTTTCTGTGGCTTGATGCCATGAAATGAGATGTTTTGAAGCAGTTTAATAGCTGCAGAAGCACAGCAAAGCCATGCAATGGAGCACATCTTTTGGACCATTGCCTATGGGAGATACTTGCAACCACATTTTTGTAGGCTTCTGATTGAGGTACCATGGGAAGGATGTCTGGAGGGGTTCAAGGCCAGGTTGGACAGGGCTTTGAGTGACCTCGTCTAGTGGAGGTTGTCCCTGCCTGTGGCAGCAGAGTTGGAACTAGGGGATCTTTAAGATCTATTCCAACCTAAACCACCTGATAATTTTCTGAGGATCCAATGGGTGTGAAAAACTTTAAAAATAAATTAATGGAACTAAAATAAAAAAATCACTCCAGTCAAAGTCTTGCCTGCAAAGGTACTGCTGCTGCAGAAAATACAGAAGCTGTTAAGATCTTTCTCACATGTGTCAGTTGATGCTGGCATGGATAAGTCCCCAGATCAATATGTGAAGGCCACTCGTCCAAATTACTGGCAAGCGGGAAGTGGTTAGCTTAAATATAGTTTCAGGCTAGATCTTCACCCTCCTTCTCCCTTTTTGGAATTACCACTCAACATGAGCAGTCATTAGCTGCCCACAGTGGCTGCAAGTTTTTCCTTCCTGAGAAAACACCACAATATTTATCAATATGCACATTAGTCATACATCAAAACCAGCACAGCTACTCTCGGGCCGATTCAGAAGCCCTGGGATTACTGTATCTCCGTCAAGTTCTCCTTTCTCACCCCATCCACATTCACAAAGCAGAAACTTGTAGCAGCTCAAGGAGCAGCAAAGGCCGATGGGCGTCTTTTGGGGTAACGTGGTGGGGGTTCACCAAGTGGCCCCAGCATCCTGGGGGAAACCCAAGTATACCACATTGGAGATGGTGCCAGGGCTGGGCCTGGCTATGAAAATCTGCCTCTAGCTATGAGTCAAGAGGGCAGGCCTGAAAGGGAGCTGCAGGTTATGCTCTGCTCCTCTTCAGAGCTGTGCAGGCAATGACTGCCCTGCCACCCCACTGCATGAAATAGCAGAGCTGAGCCCACAGTTTGGGTTGTCTTTCCAGAAACATCCATGGGCTGGGCCAGGGACAGTGTTGGGCATCCCAAAGGAAGCCATGATGACTGTTGCTTCCCTGCAGCTCCAAGGTGGGCGTGTTATTTTGTCCCTGAAGTGTTGACTTCTCCTACTTGGAGGAGAGCTGCTGCTGAGACCACCTCTGCAGAGAGGACAACTTCCTTGGTACATGTGACAAAGAGGAGGCCGTCCTGTCCTTCCCCTGAGGGACACATGGGTTTCATCAGAGGTACTAAGTGAGTTGATGAGCACCAGCATGACTGTCATGGAAGAAATTGCTTTATGCCCATCCTCACAACGCGTGTTGGCACACAGCAGCAGCACATCCCTGGAGGAGACAAGCTCAGCCAAAGCACCTGGCATCCTGCCTAGGTCTGAGGAACAACATCTGCCCCAAGCTAAAACTGAGGTTGCTGTAGCCAAACTGTTCAACCAGTACATGTACAAAGCCACCTTTCTAAATCCATCCAGCCAAAACATGCTTCTGTAGCTCCCACTTCTCTCCAGAGTAGACAGGAAATGGACAGCTGCCCTGTAGCCACAAATCTGGGGCATGATCTCGCTCCTGAGTTATCTTGGTTTATCCATTGCATACCTCCCAGGCTACCTTCTTCCCATACCAGTTTCCTTAAGTGCTGCCAGCACTGGTGTTGTCTTCCCTCGGGTGTGGAAGAGCCATGCTTGGAGTGTCAGCTATGTGCCTGGACTCCATCCTCTCTGCCGTGCAGCTGTGGGTAAAGTTGCTTTCATTTCTCTTGGTTTTCCCCAGCTATAAAAGCAGGATCACTTTGAAGTTATGAACTTCAGAAACACTTTAAAACTTTTTTGGTGCCTCCGTAGCACTTTGAGTAGGTCACTGGTCATTTCTCCCAGTAAACTGCAGCCTTCCCCACCATTTTGCAGGTTTTTCTTTGAAGAGACCCCTGCCATCACCCAGCAAGATCACTTAAACCAGTCCTAGGCTGGGCTCCTAATAACTCACTGCAATGAAAACTGAAAGTGTTGAACAAACCCCAGTTCTAAAGCCACCTCCTTGTCCACTACCATAGCAGCAAGGGTCATTCCTTCCATTGGACTTTGGGATTAGCTCATGGAAATTGTCCTTGGCCTCTCTGTGACCCTGGCATACGTGAGTTAAAACTCCTCACTTGTCCAGTTTTGTCACTGATTTCTTGAACAAGGTCTTCACAAGACTTTTGGCCCTATCTCAGGAGAAGTTTTTAAGAGGCAGGTGAGTAGCTGACAGTTTGAGTGACTTAATTTTTAGTGTACTATTTTGGTACTGTATAAAATGCTGACGTGATTTGAAGGCTCCGAATTACAACATTATCACCCCACCACATCATTTTGCTTCTGCCCTCTTCCTTCCTCCTCGCCTTGCTATTGTGGCTGTGTGTCCCCTTCCCCTTTTCCTTCCTGGTTAGTGACTTTGCCTTATTCAGGACAAACCCAGTTCCCCCAAAACCTGAGAGTGCGGGGTGCTGCTGTGGCCATCACTTTGTACTGGTGGCCCCTGAAGATCTCACATGAGAGCTGAAGGTGTTGGCATTACCAGACTGACCCCTTGTGTGCCGCAACATGTTGCTTTAGTCCTTTAATGGCTCATTTTGAGAGAAACCTAAAAGATGCTGTGAAATGTGCTAAGGAGCAAGTGCCAGCTGGTGGTCAACCCAAATGGGTGGGTGAATTCCTATGTGTGTAAGGCCTGGAGGACACCATGGTGCCAGAATAAGGCCATAAAGTCTCATGGACATGTGGCTTTACAGCATTGTAAGGATGTGCATGGTCTGACCTCCCTTTCTATGTGCTCTTATGGTTTCTCACTGCCACATACACGTCTACTTTGGTATCGATAATTTGGCCTCACCTTCCCAAATCCCTGAGTCCATCCCAGCCTTGCTGTTTTTGCTGTTGCACTTCTCTGGCACTCACCTGTATTTTGTTCCCAGGCACTAAGAAAGTCACTGTTGATAAAAGCACATCAGCAGAAAGAGGCAGAGATGCCAGAATAGTTTGGGTTTTGCTGGTGCTACCATACCAGTCATCTCTTGACTAGCACCCAAGTGCTAGACTTGAAGGGCCTGAATGGAAATGTATAGCTGAGATCTTGATGTTTTTTCCACAGTATGGTGGTAGGTGTTTTTGCTGATGTAAGCGATAGCAAAAATAGTGTGGGGGAATTATAGCCCTCAGAAAAAAAATATGTAAATATCTGAGTGCAATAAAAAAACCCCGCTTACCCGGGGTTTGGGCTCCGATTTTACTCTGGGCTCTTTCTGTGGCTGAGAAATAAATGCTAAAAGGGAGTGAAAGATGATGTTCATCCAGATCCAACTCATCAGAAACAGGGAGTGGGGAAGATTGTGGGCAATCCAAATTTCGGGCTTTGTCCCTGTGGCCGATTTTAATCAATAATATTGTTAATTCAGATTCTGACCTGTCTGCAGGGAGCATCTGAGAAATTAAGTCACCTCTTTTCACGGTCCACTGCTCAGATGTGACAGCTGAAGTTTGAATCTTGCCGCTCGTGTTGGAGCGTGACGCTCCTGAATAAATAGGGCTGGTCCTTCACCCGGTGCCTCAGACAGTGGCTGGGGCTGAGCCTGCCAGGAGGATGCGA